CTCCTCCTCCTCCTCTTCAGGAGATCATCAATTTCAACTGCCGGAATCTGGTGGATAACATGCCCCTCTTTGCCAACGCTGATCCTAACTTCGTGACGGCCATGTTGACCAAGTTGCGCTTCGAGGTTTTCCAGCCGGGGGACTTCATCATCCGAGAGGGAACAGTGGGGAAAAAGATGTATTTCATACAACACGGCGTGGTTAGCATCCTGACTCGGGGCTCTAAGGAAATGAAGCTTTCGGACGGGTCCTATTTTGGGGGTGAGTTTTTCTCGGTAGAGTGGGGGAGGAGATGATGTTTTGAATTGATTCTGTGAGGGGGGGGCTTCAGAAAGGTTTGGTCCTGGCAAATGTGACGTGTTTGTAAGTGTGTGTGTGAAAGAGAGAGAGAAAGAGAGAGACAGAAGGAGAGAGGAAGAGAGGGAGTGAGAGACAGACAGAGAGAAAGAGCGGGAGGGAGAAAGAGAGAGAAGGGGAGAGGGAGAGAAAGAGAAGGAGGGAGAGAGAGAGAAAGAGACAGAGGAAGAGAGGGAGGGAGGAAGGGAAGGAGAAGGAGAGGGGGGAGAAGGAGGGAGAGAGAGAGAGAGAAAAAAAAAGAAAGCCAACTGAGTGACTTTGGGCCAATCACCAGGAGACGGTGAGTTCTAGTTCCACTTTAAGCACAAAAGCCAGCTAGGTGAATTTGGGCCAATCATTAGGAGACAATGAGTTCTAGTTCTGCCTCGGGCATAAAAGCCAGCTAGGTGACTTGGGTCAATCATCAGGAGAATCTGATGAGTTCTGGTTCCACTTTAAGGATGAAAAGCCAGCTAGGTGACTTTGGACAATGACTAGGAGACAGTGAGTTCTAGTTCTGCCTTGGGCATGAAAGGCACTTGGTGACTTTGGGCCAATCTCCAGGAGATGGTGAGTTCTAGTCCTACTTCAAAGCCGGATGGGTGACTTTAGAATAGAATAGAGTAGAGTAGAGTAGAGTAGAGTAGAGTAGAGTAGAGTAGAGTAGAGTAGAGTAGAGTAGAGTAGAGTAGAGTAGAGTAGAGTTGAATAGAATAGAATAGAATAGAAAATGAATAGAATAGAATAGAAAATGAATAGAGTAGAGTAGAGTAGAATAGAAAATGAATAGAATAGAATAGAATAGAATAGAATAGAATAGAATAGAATAGAATAGAATAGAATAGACCTTTATTGTCATTGCCTTCTACAAATTCAATGACATTTGAAAGCTACTCCAGCACAGTGTCCCAACCACCACATCACAATCACACTACAGAGTATTTAAAAATTAAAATAATCATTAAAAACCTAGCCTAAAACATATAGTAAGTTAGACCCCAACCCAACCCACAGAATTATCCTTAGGGGAAAAATAGGAGGAGGAAGGAGCATTAGGTACATGCACCACCTTTATTGATTTATAAAAACAATAAAGGTGGGATTAAAAAATATTTTTATAAAAAAAAAAAAACCAAAAGACCACTCCATTCCTTTTGCAAAAAAATAATAATAGGTCAACGGTTGGTTTTTCTTCCTTTCTGCCCCACCTCTTAATTTGGGGTTTAAGGTTGGGTGGGTGAAGTCAAGGTTAAAAGGGGAGCGGTCCCCAACATTCTCCTCCTCTTCCTCCTCCTTTTTGCCCCTGCAGAGATCTGCCTTCTGACCCGGGGCCGGCGCACGGCCAGTGTCCGAGCCAACACCTACTGCCGCCTCTACTCCCTTTCCGTGGGCAACTTCAACGAAGTCCTGGAGGAATACCCAATGATGCGGCGAGCCTTTGAAACCGTTGCCATGGACAGGCTGGACCGGATAGGTGAGGGTGGGGAGGAAGGGATGAAAGGACTACAAAGCCCATGCGTTGTCTAACCGGGCCCATGGGTCTCCTCACAAAATCGGTGAAGTCCCAACAAATGAAAGCCACTGAAGAAGATCTTGGGGGTCTTCCAATAGATGCTGAAGAGACCTTAGCCCTGAGCTGATCTCACCTGTTGAGGTGTCTTTTCCTTTTCCTCCTCCTCCTTCCTCTTCCTCGTCTCCTCCTCCATCCTCATCTCCTCCTCCTTCTTCTCTGTCTTTTCCTTCTCCTCCTTCTCCCCCTTCTCCTTCTCTTCCTCCTTCTCCAACCTCATCTCTTTCTTCTGCTCCTTGTTCTCTATCTCCATCTCCTTCTCCGCCATCTCTCTTTTCCTTTTCCTCCTTCGTCCTCATCTCCTCCTCCTCCTCCTCCTCCATCTTCTCCTCCTTCTTTCTCTCCTCCTCCTCATCCATCTCCCCCTTCTCCTCTTCCTCTGTCTTCTCCTTCTCCTCCATTTCCATCTCCCCTTCTCCTTCTCTTCCTCCTCCTTCTCCAACCTCATCTCCTTCTTCTACTCCTTGTTCCCTATCTCCATCTCCTCTTCTCCTCTACCTCCTTCCTCGTCCTCACCTCCTTTTCCTCATTCTTCCCCACTATCCCATCTGCTTTTTTTGTCTCCTCCTTGTTCGATCTCCATGTCTTCCTTCTCCTCCTGCTCCATCCTCACCTTTTTCGCCTTCTCCTTGTTCCCTGTCCCCCATCTCCTTCTTTGTCTCCTCTTCCTCCTCCTCCTCCTCCTTTCCTCTTCCTCCTCCTCGCCATGCCAATGTGGCTGACCTCCATATCAAGCAATTCTCCAAGCTTTGTCCGCATTTCGGTGTGACCTCTGACCCCCTCTTCCTTCCACCTTCAGGGAAAAAGAATTCCATCCTGTTGCGGAAGAGAGCGGAGCACAGTTCCAGCACAGTCAACAACGAGATCATTCAGCAGATCGTCAAACACGACCAAGACATGGCACACAACATCCAAGACCTCCAGCCCATGACTGCCGGCCGGGAAGTGAGCGGCAAACCGCTGATCTGGGAGCCCCTCGTCCACGTGCCACTGCAGACTGCCGCCGCCACCACCAGCGTGGCCATCGCATTGACCCACCAGCAAAGTCTGGCGACACACATCTTCCTTCCCCCTTCGTCCATCTCCAGCCCTCTCTCCCCCGACTCGGCGGCTCTCCTGCGCCATCCCCGCCGCTCCCAACCCAGCCTGGGGGGCTCCCGGCCGTCCTCCGTCAGCTCACCTGCCTCGGGGGCGCAGTCCCACCTGCAGACGCCGGCAGCCGGCTCGCCGTGTTCTCCTGTGGTGCAGTGCGTGTCCCCTTTGGAAAGCACGGTGGGCAAAGTCCTCCCACGGCCTGTTCAAAAGGGGGACGCCATCCCTGGCATGAGCCAGGCTCAGCTGTCCAAAACTCGGGGTACGTCGGTCTCCACGTCTCTCTTGCAGCAGGCCGCCCACGGCGCCTCCATCCCGCCGGGACGAACTCTGCACTATAGCCTGTCTCGGGCCACGGGATCTCACATTTCCCTGTTCTTGCAGCCTCAGCAGATGGTCAAACACCGGAGTTCGCAGGGCCTTTCAGTGGGTGGTCTTACGAAGGACGTCCGTCCGCTTTCGGCGTCTCAGCCTTCTTTGCCAAACCGGCTCACCCAACCCTCGGACATGGGCTCTTCCCAGCAGGCACGGAAATCAGCCAGGAACGTCACGTACCGTTCCTCTCCGTCGGTTTCTGGTCTGCTAGGGAAACCAAGCATGGGAACCACCCCTGGTCAGCCTGGTTCCTCCCAGCAAGGCCCTTCGGGGTCCAGCCGGTCCGTGAGTGGGGCCACGACCCCCCAGTCGCCTGCCTCCGTCCCACGACACGGCACCGCCTCTTCCCGTAAGGGTTCCGTAGCGTTCAGTCCTGACGTCAACACAGGGAAACCGAAGCTGCCATCTCATATGTGAAACCAGGGTACACCCAGGGATACCAGTCCCTTCTTGGGCAGGCTTTGGGGGCTGAGCTGGGGGTGGGGGCCAAGGAAAGAGACACCCAGCGCAATCCCAAGGACAGTGGTCCGGGCCTGACAGAAGTCTGCTTGATTTGGAGGAACTGTTCCTACGCGGAGATCCTACGAGGATCCTACATGTGGAGATCTGACGAGACTCAACGTTGGTTCCTACGGAGAGCAAACTCCCTCGGGGGAAGGAAACGCTGACGTGTCCATCTTCGGCTTTGTAACCCTGGCTCACCACTGGGTTGCCACCCTTCCGCTATGCGTCAAGGGGAACAGCAAACTCCTTTGCAACCCTCTTCAGAGTCCAGACTACTGGGAGAAGCCTGAGTCGTGGGGCAAAGATGATCGCCGGTGTGTCCATTTTCAACCGCACCGAAGCGGCCTGTTAACTTTATTAGCGGACACTCCGAAACGAGTGGTTTTTTTTTTCTTCCTGCCCCCCCCCCCCCCCTTGCCTTTTTCCTGCCTTTAGGAATATTTTTTTAACAACAGGATAATCGACGTAGTGACCTCTCTCTCTCCACTCTTCTCGCCCCACACTCCTGCGGTATCCACCTCAAGATGTTTTGTGAGTGTGTGCGTAACGGTAGAAACCCTGGTTCCGCGCCCGGGAGGGAGGGGAAGACGGGTTTCGTTGGCCCTATCCCTAAATGCCACCTTTGCCCATAAGAAGAAAAAACATGCACTGAATTTCCCCAATACGGCTAGTCCTCGACTTACGACAGATCATTTTGTGACTATTCAATGTTACAACACTATTTTTTAAAAAAATCAGCATTTTTCATACTTACAACCCCAGGGTCACATAATCAAACATTGAGACGCTTGGCCGCATGACTCATGTTTATGACGGCCGCAGCGTTCCTGGGGGGGGGAGGGGGTCATGTGCTCCCCTTTTGCGACCTTCTGACCAGCCGAGTCAAGCAGGAAGACAGGTTCGCTTAACGGCCACATGACAAACTTCACAACTGCCGTGATTCACTTTGACAATGGCGAGAAAGGTCGTAAAAGGAGGCAAAGCTCCACTGAACCTCTGTCTTGCTTAAGCAACATAAAATTTGGGCTTGATTGTGGTCGTAAGTTGGGGACTACCTATAAGCCTACAATGCAAGGAGGAGAAGGTGGCGCTTGCATTATGACGTATTTGTCATTTTGGCATTATAAGAGTGCCTGTGGCCAGAAGCGTGATTTTTTTTGCACTGAGCCAGACTAAAATGTCCTCTAATACTGACCAGGTTTTGATTTCCCATAATCCCCCGGCTCAGGTAACACCCTTACTTGAAAGCTTTTGCCAATTTCCCAGCCAAGATTTCAAAAACCCTTTTGGTCGTCTTCACCAGCCGTTCCAGGTTTCCGCCCGCTAAAGGGTTGTCTTTTTTTAAAACAAAAACAAGAGAAAACGAAAATACTAGCCGTCATTACGGAGTATCAAAGCTGGTTGAAGTACAGTAAGAGGCCCTCTTGCAGTCTTATATTTAACTTACATTCTTGGTTTGGCCGTTCAAGGTGGTGGAAATGAGGATAGGAAGTAAGCAGGGGTGCGATTCAACCGGTGTAACAAGTGGTTCGGTGGGTGCGCGCTTTGCGCGTGCACTTCGCATCTGCTACTGACCTTCTCCAGCGATCTCTGTGTGTTAAACAGCTGATGCATGACACAAATCAGCTTAGCTTGAAAAACCACGATATAAAACACAGACTAGAGCTGGACGAGCAAGTAGGCCCAACAGCCGATCATCGGAGCTACTCGTTCACCCGAACGCAGGCCGAACTGGTAGAATGCCACCTTTGGAACTAAGGATGAAACTCCCTAAAAAAAATAAAGAGAAATAGCCCTAAAAATCTTATTTTATTAAAATGAATGAGTGAGTGTAAGCCTGTGTGTCCTCGACTTAGGACAATTCATTTAGTGTCCATTCCAAGTGATGACATCGCTGAAAAAAAGTGACATGATCATAGGACCGTTGGCAACATCGGCGCTTGGCGGCGAAGTCGGATTGACGATGGTTGCAGCCTCCTGGGGTCCCAATCCCCTTTTGCAAAGCTTCAATGGGGCAAAATCCCATTTAACAATTGTCTCACTTAGCAACAAAGGGGGGGGTTGAGATTTGGTCATAAGTCGAGGAATACTTGTCATTGACCGGAAGGTCCGTGCGTTCTAGCAAACAACTCATGGCGCCCGCTTGAAAACAATACTCTTGGAAGGATTCAGCCGGTTCACACCGGTTTTGTCAAACTGGTAGTTTCACCGATTAGTTGGCACCGCCCACCTGCCTCTGCCCTAGTCCTATATTTCTGTTTTTCAGCCCAGGGGATTGCCATGTATCAGCTGTTTTTACTCACCAGAAGGTAAGTTTTAGCGGGAAAGGGGTGGTTTTGAAATGAACCGGTTGTTACGCCAGTTGAATCCCACCACTGATTCTGCCACCGTACAAGGCCACTGAAATCTCTCTTACTCTACTTACCTCTCTGCTTTGTCAACCCATTTGTGAAAACACCCAGGAGTAGAGCAGGATTCCTTTTCAGAGTCAGGTTTACGGGCATAGTGCAATTCTCAAGGAGCTTGAATTATTCCGAAGAATACGGTGTGTATTCTTAAAATTAACCCCGCCGCACGTTCTCCTGGAAAGAGGTCCAGCAATTTATTTTTTTTAAATCTCGGATAAGGAACGGTCCACGGACAAGAGGCTCGTTTCTTTGAACTATAGCCCCAATGTTGGACGTTCAAGAAAAGTTTTCTTGCTTTTTGAAGGGTCTTTGGTCCAGTGGCTTTTGGGTGGGGGGGTCTTTGCTGCATGGTGGTTCATCCTGTGAGCCACGGAAGGAATGCTTTTATTCCTCTCCACTTATATCCAGCGGTGGGCTGCAGCTGGTTTGGACTAGTTCTAGCGAACTGGTACAAACAACGATCAGTTGGCCCTGCCCACCCACCCCTGCCCTATCCTGTCTGACATTTCCTCCTTTTGCAGCTGATTTGTGGGTCAAAGTGGATGACCACGCCTCAGCTGTCCTACTTACTGGGGAAAGCTAGAAGGTGAGCTGCAGTGGTTCGAATGGGGGTTTATCAAATGCTGCACACGCGTGCGAAGCTCGTGCTCACGGAACTGGTTGCAGTCCGCCGCTGCTTATATCCTTTCCACGAAGTCTTATAATCCAGTAGCGGAGTGTCTAATAATTCTCCCTCCTTGTGCCTAAATACGATCAGGGTCGCCGAGTTCTTCGGATCATCAACCCACCTACCCCCGGATCCTTTCTTCTCTTCCGTGATCCAGCCATCCTCGGAACCGTAGTTTGTGATGTCCATTCCCGTGTGGGCTCTGGCCCAAACAGCCAAACCTTGACGTGACCAATGTTGCTTTCCGATCCAGACAAGTTACCGATTTAGGGGTAGAGTAGCTGCCTGGGACTTTTTTTTCTTCTTCTTCTTCTTCGAAATCTCTCTGATCGTTTTTTCTCCTCCTCTCGTAGCGAGCTCCACTGCCAATATTGATGTCTCGCGCTGTAATAATGCTTTTTCTCTTGTAGTATCTGGTGCTGTCGGGAAGGGCGGTTTTACAAGGGGTTGGGGAAGGGACAGGAGGCACGCAGCGGTGTTGGCCCGTGGTCTCCAGACGGAGGAAAAGGAAGGGAAGGGGACTTCGTTACGGCCGGTTCACCCCATCGATCACACCCTGGCTGATTCGCCCATGGCTGAAATGCCGTGGGACAACTCACAAAGGGGAAATCACTGCGGGAAAAACTCGCTGCAAGACAACGGATGGAAACTCATCAAGGAGAGAAGCCACCTAGAATTAAGGAGGAACTTCCTAACAGTAAGAAGAATTTACCCATGGAACAACTTGCCAGCAAAAGTTGTGGGTGCTCCATCACTGGAGGTGTTTAAGAGGCGGCGGGTTGGACAAGAAGACCTCCAGGGTCCCTTCCAACGCTGGTTATTCTGTTAATTCAACACAGGATAACTCACGAGAGGGACAAACTGAATTGCAGTGGGCCTTGTCCTGCTTACAGTTGGAGCTTTCTCAAGTTGGAAGTCCTCAAGGATGGAACAAGCTACCATCCCTACTTCTCTCTCTCTCTCTCTCTCGAGTAGAATTGTCCTGCGGCGAGTCGGCCATGTCAAATTGTCCCACGGTGAGTTGGCCAGGGTGTGTGTGTGTGTGTGTGTGTGTGTGCACGTGAGCCAACCGGGGTGAATCCAACACACGTCGAGTCGTCCCACTCCGTCTTCTTCTAAGATTTGCCGTGAAGAAAACCGTCTGGAGAACCGCAACGTCCCCCCTGCGTGTCCGAGGCACATCGCCCTGCTCGTCTCGCTGCTCAGGGACGCCGTCCCTGCTGGGGTGGGTCTCAGCCAGCTTGGACTCACCTGGGCAGACATCTTTGGGAGGCGCATGGTGTCGAGCACCTCCTGAAATCGCCTTCCCGACCTTTGACTCTTCGCCTTTAGTCTCCTCTGGAAGGAGAAATCCCGTTTAATCGCGTAGACTGAAAACATTCCAGAAGTCCTTGTTTACACTCGATCGGGTAGAGCCACCTGTAGCCGCTGTTCCCCGTAGATACGCCGTTGAGGTGGGGGGTGAGGTGGAGAAAGAGGTGCTCCCTTCTGTCTCGGTGGGCCTAGGGTGCGATCGCTTGTGGCGGTGTCCTCGTTGTCTAGGGAGATTCTCAATCATCCAGGCCACGGTTGTCCCAGAGGTGTTTTTTTTCAGGAGGCAACTAGACTCTTCCTTGGCTCTTCTTTGAAGACGTTTCATCTCATCCACTGACTCTGTGGGACCAAACAACCCTCTTTATCCAATGGCGGACAAGGGGAGCGCCGGATGTAAAGAACGCATGGAGGGAACGCCTTTGTAGGTCGGGCCCCTTCTGAGCTTGGGTGTGTGTGTGTGTCTCTTGTGTGTCTGTGTGTGCCTTCGCACAGCCGTCTCTGTGGTGTGAGTTTTGCGCGCCGGC